TCCCCTCCCCTTTGCAGATTGTAGAGCCACCCACATTGTAACAAATCTTTAGATAGTTGAACATCTTCATGTTTTAAGCACAAGATGTTTTGATCCCACTTTATTGAGATCCACAGTTTTTTCCTTTTATAATTGAATTTTTGGAAATTTAGTACAATGTATTTTTATTGTATTTAGATTCCTTTCCCCTATGCGCACCCCCTTACCATCCCTCCCCAATTTCATGTACTCTGTTACATATCTAATTTGTATCCTCAAATGCCCTTCAGCGTCAGTGCATCCACTGGAGTCTGGTTAATCTACCAAGAGTCACACCCTTAAAAGAGACTGGCTCTCTCCCTCCCAGCAGCCAGAGGTTGTCAATAGTTCCTCATGAAGGGTTGGGGTTTCTGACCCACCTCCCCACACCCAAGCTGGGATTTTTGTCTGGCTTGAGCTTGCATGGGACTTGTGCATATTATCACCATTTTTCAAATGAGTTCATATGAGTGATTGACCAGCTGTCTGGAAAACTATTTCCTTGTGGTTGTCCACTACCTCTGACTCTTGAAACCTTTCTGCCCACTGGTTTGCAATGATCCCTGAGCCTTGGGAGGCAGAAGTTTGGTATTTAAGGATCAGCACTGTGCAGTCTTTTGCTGACCGCACATTGGCCAGTTGTGGGTCTCACCATCTGTTGCATAAGGAAGCTTCTCTGGTGAGGGTTGAGCGATGCATATGGGTTTAACAGTAAGTCACTGGGGTCAGTTTAATATGATATTTATTTAGAATAATAGTATTAGGCGCTCCTTCATGGCCTGCTTCATACAGTTTTAAGAAACAGTTTAAGAAATATGTTTATTCTGCCTCCCAAGGCTCAGGGATTATTGCAGAAGAGGAGGCAGAAAGAGTGTAAGAGCCAGAGGTGGCGGGTGACCAGAAGGAAACAGTTTTCCAGACAGCTGGCTAGTTACTCACATGAACTCACAGCAATGGTGACAACATGTATAAATCCCATGCAAGCTCAAACCAGACAAAATCCCAGCATAGATATGGGGAAGTGGGTAAGAAATCCCAGCCCTACCTGAGAAATTATTGGCAACTTATGACTTCTGGGTAGGGGAATGACAGTCTCTGTCAATGATGTAACTCTTGATAGGTTAACCAGGTTCCATGGATGGACCCACACTGAAGGACTTTTGGGAACACAAATTAAACTCTACAGGCCTTAAAAAATATATATACATATACATATATATGTATATATCTAATACACTACATTAAATTGGACAAGGGATGAGCAGTAAGGGGAGGTGTGGATGGAGGACGGGAATCTAAATTCCACCAACTGTATTGTATGAAATAAAAAAATTAATTAGTAAGAATAAAAAATAGGAGGCTGGAGAGATGGCTCAGTGGTTAAGAACACTGGTTGTTTTTGCAGAAGACCTGGGTTCGAATCCCAGCACCCACATGGCAGCTAACAACTGTCCATAACTCCAGTCCCAGGGGATCCGACAGCTTCTTCTGTCCTCCGCGGGCATTGCACGACATGGGTGCACTTACCTACATGCAGACAATACACACATGCACATATAAATAGTAAAAAAATTTTAAAAAATGAAATGCATGAATCTCATGATTTGCAGTCAACATTGCTGATGTTGCATGTTAAAATGTACATTTCGCACTGCACTAAAATGTAAACTAAAATGGCAGGCAGGCGCTGAGTAATTTCTTAGACTGCAAATTAGTCACTGACCAGTCTCTCCAGCAGAGAGTTCATGCTGCACCTGGTGCATCCTTCTTATGCTGCATCAGGTTCCTGTCTGAATGCTCATACTCAAAACCCACACTTAGGAGGAGACATCTGCCAGATGGTCTCTGAATTGTTACTGGGTTGGATTTTTACCGGATGCTTCCGTCACCCCAAAATCATTACCATGTAGCATATTGTGGCTATTTTGTATTACCCACCCTATCCAGATATTTTCTAATGCTAAAGGTAATATTTTCCATAGAAAATGATATTAATATTTTAAGAAAGTTTTGAAGATTTGATGGGAAGGCTTTATAAATGGCATCTGAACTGGTGTTTAATTAATCTTCTATGACTGGGAAAACCACTTCTGCTGCCAACACACAGAATTTCCTCCTCAGTAATGCACATCTTTTAGATTTCTGAATATTGCTCGACTTTTCCCCTTGGTTTCTACTCCGAAAGAATGGTTCTGGGCTCTAGTTCATAACGAAAGCCCACGTTTCATTCAGGTTTGCTTAGTTCTGTCCCAGGGCTTCACCCGTTTTCTGTTGCAGATCCCACCGAGGATCACAGTGGCATGCATTCCCATTTCTCTGTGGTCTTCTGCTGTGTCCCTTTCTTGGCTTCCCTCATTTTTTACCTTGGCCTCGATTGTACTGAGGAGCGCTGGTAAGGCGCTTTGTGGGAGGGATGCCGGCTGTTACTCGTCTGACTTCTTTCTAATTAGGTTGGGGTTGTGTATTTTGAGACAGAAGACCACAGAGGTATGGTGGCATCTATCTCCTAGTGTCGCATCAACTGCCCACATGCTTTGTGCAACTCCCCAAGCTGATGTTGATCTTCATCTCTTGACTGTACTGGTGCATGTTAGGTTTCTCTATCAGTAACTTCTTTTGTCCCCTTTCCACAGAACACTCTCTATAAGGAAGTCACTGTGCAGTCCACACCAGAGGAGGCACGAGTCGAGCTCAACCTCCTTGGGTAACTACATGAGTCACTGTTAATTTTTGCATGAGAGAGATTTCTATACTCTACCCTTCTACCATATCAATCACATGTTCGTATGATCATGAACTCACAAATATGTTCTATATTTCATCCTACAAAGCAACATGACTTTAATTACTTTGCTTCTTGCAGATTTGGCCATAAGGATATTTCAGTTGCAGACTGTGTTCCACCATTAGGTCTCTGTGTGTTTTCTTAGCACTTCCTTACATTCCAGCCCTGTAGGGTGCTCCAAGATGATCTTTTACTTTTCTTCCTCTAGTTCTAGAAACATTCATTCTGCACAAAGCTCTGGTTCCTGTTCTTAGAAAATGGTATGAGAAGCCAGGTCCTGGGAGGTTTGTGTGCGTGTCCTTGCTCCTAGGCCACTCAGTAGCCAGCAATAGAAAGTGTGTGTGTGTGTGTGTGTGTGTGTGTGTGTGTGTGTGTGGTGTGTGTGTGTGTGTGTGTGTGTGTGTTCCAGCTCATCTATACAAGGTATCCATGGCTCCCTCACTGCAGCATCACGCCTCTGGTACCCTTGATCATTTTATTATCTCTATGTATAGTTTTGCCTTTTCCAGAATATTAGAGGATTTGAATGACGCCGTCTGCAGCCCTTTTCAGACCTTTCAGACTTTTCTTTCACTTAGCCATTTGCATCGTAGATTCATCTGTGCCTTTAGATGGCTTCACAGCTCATTTTTCATTATTGATTAATGTTCAATTATGTGGGATTTGTTGTTTTATCCCTGTACCTATTGAAATACATCTTGGTTGTTCCTGCTTTGAGGTAGTTATGAGAGTGCTTTTATAAACTTTCTTGCATATGCCAGTTTTTGTATGACTAAAGTTTTAAAATTGGTTGTGTTAGATGAAAGGTGGCAGGGGTCAGGATCGCCGCAAAACAGAAACAGAGAGGACTCTGGCAAAGCCAGAGTTGAATGGGTTTGGGGGGGCTGGTCTTCAACTCAGGTGAGAGGAAGAGCCAACAGCCTAATGGATGTGGGGGGTGGGGGTAGCTTATAAAGGGACAGAATGTGGAAAAAAAGACTATTTTTCTGCTGTTTGGGACTGTTTCGGGGGCTGCTTGCTCAGGGAGGGTGTGGAGTCCGTAACCTGTGAAACTTATCAGGGAAAACATCTTCTGTAAAATATGTTTTCTACAATTACGGGGTTCTAGGAATTAATTGCAGCTAAGGGGTTGGGAAACCTGTTTGTCAGCCTGTGGAGCATGCTCTAGTGATCACAATATATTGGCCATTAACTTCCTGGAGCTGCTTTTGTTAACTTGAAGCAGGTGGCTGGGAGTTGGTTGACTCAGTTCCTCTTAGGGGCCTTCTGGTTTCTGGGTCTGGGGTCGCCTGGATCGGAACTCTATCAGGATAGATAAAGCACAATGTTATTGTTTTTAGATCACATGGTAAGCTTATGTTTAGCTTTATAAGGATGTGCTAAATTGTCTTCCAAAGGGGCCATATGCTTTTTGTATCATAGTCAACAATGAACAGGATCTCTGGTCTCCATATCCCACTAACATGGTTTGAATTTTGCCCATCTTCCTAGGTATGTGATGCTATACAATTATTACTTGCAATTATTATTTTAGTTCATTATATTTACAGAAGAGTGATTGATTTAAAATAATGTGAGCTGCAGTCTAAGTGGAGAGATGGTCTGTGCAATGACTTGTTTCCCTCTCACTGTACCACTGCTGCCCATGTCCCAAATCCAGACCTCTCCTTATCACATGAGCCCCCCTCCTGGTAACTTACACATAGGCTCTGCCATCCATACTAGAAGGTCTGTGTAGCTGGGACATTTTAGATTCTTGTTGAAACCTTCTGGGGACACTTGTCACAGTTTGTTTCCAGATTACTTTTTGATTCTTTGTCTTTCTTTTTACCATGGGAAGCACAATTAAAGACCATACTTTTAAGCTGCACCAAGTAATTTAATTGCCCTAAGAGGAACATGATGCCATTTGACATTAATTATAGTTTAATGTCTAGTGTTGTTTCTCCATACAGTTGAAGTTTGTCTTGTTTTTATTAGAAATCTGGCTCTGTACTGACATTTAAATTCTTCATAATTGAGACCCAGTATTGTACAGGGTTAGATCTTTGGCTTAAATTTGTCATTACCTAATATAGACCATATAATGGACTGATACTTTTGGGGAAGGAGAGCAGAACTCCCACACGAGGCCTTCCCAAACAGCAACTGGGAGTCTGATGAAACTGAGGGCTTTGTGACATCTAAATGCCCAGGGCTCTGAATTCTAAAGCAGTCTGGGGGCCCTGAGGCAGGCTCTGCCACTCCGAAGATCAACTATCACCAGACTCCTTCAAAACTTCCCTCTTCACTTTAGGCAATCTCTGCCCCTGGCCCTTGAAACTCACATTTGAACTGCCTTGATCCTGTAGAGGAGTTCCACTAATCTGTCCACTTAGATTCTCACTGCAATTAGCTTTAACATTATGGGAAAACCGAGGGGGTTTTGGGGTGTACAGGGGAGTGGGCAGAGATGTTGAAGGAAGAGAAGAGGAACACTGAATTGTTGTAAGGCGTTCTGTTGTAGAGGCACCTCTGAGCGCTGGGTGTAAAATGACACATAGATCTGAAAAATTCACAGGCTGTAATGCCGAATATTACACGGTGGATTGCCATGGAAGATAAAACGTGTGCAGACCAGGTAACACTTTGAAATTTATTCCTGCTGGTTTTCCTTAGTGGTGTCATTAAATGACAATGGGTTTAGAGTTGATTTAGTCATGTGTTTTAACTTGATAAATATTCATAATCTTTCAAAATGATAAAGAAAAAGAGCCTGCTGTAATTCTGAATCTTTTCTCTTTGGGAGACTGAAAACCAAGAATGACACATGTCACCCCAGCCTGACTGCCTCTCTCGGGAAGGTTGAAGTGTTGTAGTGATTTCTGAGATGTCATCAGTCCGTACCATGTCTAATGAACTTCACTTTCTTTTACATATGAAGTAGAGTTTTAGTCAGTTTTAATGTACATTGTTATTAGAAATTTGGAAGCTTTGGGAATGGAGACATGCTTTTTTGTGAAAACATAGTTGGCACAGAAAAGTGACTCAGCATTGTAAAGACCCACCACTTCACTTGGATATTATTGATTCCAATTACAAGCAGTGGAAACATTTGATATACTTGAAGAAAATTATTCTTATAAGTCACATCAATGTCAGAAATTAAACATAATAAAAACCTACCATCCCTCCCCAGTCTTTGACTAGAACAGTTATGAAGCCATGTTTAGAATTTAGTTTAATGACGTCTGAGCCTTGAAGAATCTGATATCTCTAATTTTCACTTTTTCCAGAAAGAAGTAAGGTTTCCCTTCTCTATTTGTTCCGGGCTTGTTCTGATTCAGTTCAATTTTGTTCCTATTTCTCTTCAGGTAAGTCCACAGATATGAGAAAACCAGTCACAGGCTGCTGACAGCTGGCATGGGTGTGATGACTGGTCCAATCAGAACCACCCAGAGCAGCATGTTCTTTTTAAAATGACCTTCAGATTGCTACACAGTGTCACTCAGCTTTGTCCAGGAAGGTTATCACAATTTATCTGCTGGTAGAGTTTGCCCCAAACTGTCACCATGCACTGACTGACATCAAACTTAAACTTCTGTGCTTCAAAAGAAAGCAGAGTGTGATCTTCAATACAAACATCTAGACTCAATGTGGAAACTGCACGTGATCTTCAAAGAAAGTTTGGGCATGCTTGGTGCAGTGTTGGATTCTCCTGAAGTGCACAGCAAAGACTTTCTGTTACACCACTTGATATGACATCTGAAGATGTGAAATGCATCATTCTATTTTGAATTCCCCTTGCCTAGATTGTGGTAGAAAACAAATCTATTTGGAATAGTTTTGTTTTTATTATTGAATATTCTCTAAATCTAGCTTCAACCCTTAGTGAACATGCTGAATTAACTTCTCCCAGAAATTACATTTTACTTTTTTACAAAAATTATTAATTTTTCATGTGTCTGAGTGTTTTGCCTACATATATGTAAATGCATCATGTGCATGCAGTGTCCGGGGAGGCCAGAAGAGGACACTGGATCTCCTGGAACTGGAGTTACAGACTGTTGTTAGCCACGATATGAGTGTTGGGACCTGAATCTGGGTAATCCTTTATCAGAGCAGCCAGGACTCTTAACCATTGAATCATCTCTATAGCCCCACAAATTTCATTTTACAAAGACAGTGTCCTGTTAAATCTACTATTTTGTGGGATTTCATCACTGGTCTATTGGATGCACTAAATATCTCTTAATTCTTATAGGCTTAATTTTTTTTTTTTTGCTATTCCAAATTTTATTAGATGAATGATATAAATTCCAGTGGCCACCAGTTTTCTCTGTTTATCAGCTCCTGATCTTAAGTGAGTTGTCTCAGGTCTCTATCTCATTACTGTGTAACAAATACCTGACATTTACCTTATTTTCAGTAATTAGTTTAACACATGACTTGTGGAAACCCAAGTCTTGAGATCATTATTTCCTGCTCTGAATCTGTTATACAACCTCAGAAAGATGAGCACGGGACAGGGAATGGAGATGCAAGGAAGGTGTTAAACAGCTGATCAGTGGACATTAACTCAACCTTCCCCAAGCAATCCTCAACTCTGAGAAAACAAGCACATTAATAAGTCATAATAAAACTTGTAATGCAAATGCTGTGCTTACAGAGTTTGGTGAGTTGACAATTTCTGTCTTAAATTTATTCACTTTACAAAAAAAATAACAAGGAATGTCATGATCCGTCTCCCTTCAGTCTCACCCCTTCTATTCACCTGTCAATATTTTTGAGAGAAAAAATAATCCAACCATAATTATGTATATTATAAGTTTCATATTTTGTTTTTATATTTTACATGGTTTGTCAGCTTCAACTGACAAATTTTCCTAAAGGATATCTTTTAGGAAACAAAATATATCCTTTAGGAAAATTTGATGTCATTTTTCTCTAAATTTCCTGAAAGTCCCCTTTCTCCCAGAAATGCTGTGATGTGGTTGCTTCATTGTACTAGTTAGCCTTTAAGAAGTGCATTTATCAAACCAAGCTGCATATACAACCTCAGTAAACCCTGAAAAGCACCCAGTGATGTTTACAGATCCCTAGTCACTAGCTCCCTGTGACCTCGGCAGATCCCTGGTCTCTAGAGTCCTCTGTGATCTGCAAATCCATGACCGCTAGCTCCCTATAAGATCTGCAGATCCCTGGCTTCTTGTGTGGTAGATGGAACCAACTTATGGAGTTAGTCAGCTTCCTTTGACTGATGTGGTCATAGGCAACAGGAAATGCATGGTAAAGAGGGGAGAGGAGGCTGCCCTTGTATAAGGCAGTGGTGCCAGGTTCCACTGATGATGGATGTGTTAAACAACATTGCACTCACCTTCTTCCCAGGATAGAATCTTCATTCTTCCTTGAACAAAACTAGCTTCATAAATGAACTGCGACTAAGCTTAAATATTGTCACAATGCCTGACCCAGGAGAAGCACACTTCAGTAAGACTCATGTGTCAGGATTCCTATCATTAGAACACACACACACACACACACACACACACACACACACACACAGACACACACACACACATGTGTAAACATAATTGACCACAAATGATGGTAGAAAGTAAACAACTATAAAAAGCCTCAAATATTTGTCAGCCAGTGAAAGAGGTGACAGTGATTAAAAACCCCACTTTAAACTTAAAACAACAAGATGCTAAAATTTTGAGGAACTCCAACAGTGGTTTCCATTTTTCTGTCAGTTCAGAAATGAGTTGGATGAGTAAGTGTGTCTGGACGCAGTTTGCTCTTGGGTGACTTGTTTATTGAACCTTCTGCTCCAATTCTCGCGATCTCTAGCATAGCATTTGGATGGTCTCTGCAGATGCTATGTACATCCCGAGGATTTAGGAAACACATTCACCAGGGAGGGGAGGACTGATGCTGCCCTACTGGCTCCTGTCTCTTCCTGCCTCAGTTCCCAGGAATGCCTGCTAGGCACGATGAGGCCTCAGGAGCACACATGCAGATGGGTAAGTGGGTTCTAGGAAGAGGGCACTGCAGAGCCTTCATGAGGGCAGTTGACAAAGCTGACAGGTGTTCATGGAGGGGACCGCCTCACTGAATGGGTGCTCGGAGAATGCAGAGCCAACCACAGGGAGCTGACAAAAGAGGCACAGAGAAGGCGAGCAGAAGGGCTGACCTCAGAGCCAAGAATCTCAACCTGCACTTGTCATGTTGGGGTCATCTGGATAATGATAAGGTATGTTTGAAGACAATGTGTACCGGGAGGCAAAGGCACTGTAGTTAAGGATGTGGATAAGGCAGGGAGGGGGCAGCTGAGTAACTGATGCTGGCAAGGAATGAGGTGAACCTGGGAGGACTCCCTGAATAGAGGAGGAGTACGTTGAAGAGACACCCACAGCAGTGCTCAGCACAGAGGTATCACAGAGGGAGTGGGTGTAAAGTCAAATTCACTGCTGGAAGGCTCACACGGTGTCCAGTTTTCTCCTCCCACGGTCCTATGACAACCCAGGGCAAGAATTCTCCAAAACTGCCATTTGGAAAATCCTAACCAGTTTATTAGACTTTCTAACTAAGCTTGGGGTGCTGGTTTACTTACAGAAGAGTGGGTGACCACCCCGTTCATGGCTGTGCTGAAAAGTCCACACCCAAACATAAACCGTGTGGCTTCCCAATAGCCACACAAACTGGCGAGAGGCCTTCCTCATGGCCTTCTCTGCTTATATGTCCTTAGCGCCCCCCCCCCATGCAGTTAAGGTCAACTGATTGGGTGGGAGGAGTAACTAGCTCCCCCTTGATTGACTCCTTCTGAGGAACATGGGAAGGAGGTGGGACTATAGCTTGCCACCATAGTGGTCAGAGGAACTTCCAGGTAATATTTGGCCCCTTCCTCTGGCTCTTAAAATCTTTCTGCCCACGTCTTCTGTGAAATTCCCTGAGCCTTGGAGGGGGTGATAGGTGTGGGATGATCTTCCTCCCATTGTGGCAAGGCACTGAACTTTCAGGTCTCTGCATTATCTGTTTTCCATGGGCTGTTGGCCAGTTTCAGTGAGATTCCATCTATAAAAACACACAGCAAGAAGCAAGAACATCTGAACAGTGGCTGCTATAGTAACTTAACCTATGGTGTAAATACAAATGCTTGGATGGTACTTTAGCAGGTGCATCATTTCTAGCTAAGAAAACAATTGCAGTGGCTTTCCACTGGGGCCTATATCCTCCCCTGCCACAGGGGCTTAGCCTGGTCTGCAGTACCAGATGTGTGTTCCATCCCTAGGAGCGGGCATTAGGTCCAATTGAAAATTTGTTGGTTGTACATACACTAGACGGGCCACTATCGAACCAGCAGGAATATACTGCTTTGCATGTTGATGATGCAGCACGTGGGGTCCCTTGTTGAATAAGATGATAGGGGACGATTCTCCCGCAGCCATCTGAATGTCACCCTCTGGCACTATGAAAGTCACCCATCCAGTGGCAGGCAGTTTCCAGCTTAGTCCAAGCTTGATTTCTCCCTCTCCCAGGCTCACATCATGTGGTGTCTTCAGCAATAGGGTCTTACTGTCTACTTCCCGTGTACAACCAACGTTATTGGCAATTGCCTTTATTGTTTTGGGCCCTTTTGGCCAACAGCTCATAGGGAGGCAACCCACCCCTGGCACTGGGATTTTCATTCAATAACCATATGGCTTCTGGAAGGGCCTTTTTCCACCCTCATGAAGTTCCTTCTGCCATTAAGGCTTTTAAAAAATATTTTATTTATTATTTTTATTTTATGTGTATGAGTGCATTGCCTGCATGTATGTGAGTGCACCATGTCATGCAATGCTGCGGAGGTCAGAAGAGGGCTTCAGATTCCCCTGGAACTGGAGTTAAGGATGGTTCATAGCTGCCATGTTGGTGCCAGGAATTGAACCTGGGTCTTCTGCAAGAGAAGTCAGCTCTTAACTGCTGCACCATCTCTCCAGCCCCTGCCCTTATAGCTTTTAACTATTCCTTTAGCAACCTGTTTTTTCTTTCAATTAACCCTGCTCCTGTAGGATTGTAGGGAAGGTGGAAATTCCATTGAACCTGATTATTTTCAGCCCAGGCTTTCTCATCAGTACTTGTGAAATGAGTGCCCCTGTTGCTATCAATCCACCGTGGGCACCCATACATGACACTGAGTTGGGTAGGACCCTTAATAGTAGCTTTACCCATCGCTCTCTTGCAAGGAAAGGCCTGTGTAAGGCCTGTGGCAGTGTCCACACAGGTGAGAGCATACTTGCACCCTTCCCTGACTAGCAGGGTCCCTATATAATCTACTTTCTAGTATCTTATGGGGGATGCTGACTTATGCAAGTGTTCCATCATGGCATGCATCCTTCGGGGCCGTAACAGGGAATACACTTTGCAGGCCTGGATAGCCTGTTGGATGTCAGACCATTTAACTAGAATACCAGTGGCTTTGGGTATTCTCCATCCCATGTCGGCTCCTCTGTGGCCTGACTTGATATGAATCCAGTGAGCTGCTTCTAGGGGAACCTGAGGGCAGACAGACCTCACCTTGGTGAGGGCATCAGCTTCCTGATTCCTGGGGGAACTCACCAGGTGGTGGGCAGCCACATGGTAAACTACCAGGGGCACTAGCTCCGTCACTAGGGGCACTAGCTCCTCCTGCATTTTATTATATGTGTCCTTCCCACATTTGTTGTCCCCAGAGTGACCATCCCATCACCTGCCAGTTTTCTTTCTCCCACTGGACCATCCATAAGGTTAAGCCTTTGAACGCAGCCCAACTGTCAGTACAAATGGTCACTGGCCAAGGCTCCCATGTTATTACTATCCACACAGCTCTTAAATCAGGCCATTGACTGCTCTTTCCCTCTCCCCTTTCCAGTCCCATAGTGTCAGTGTTCATCTGTACTGCCACTGCTACCCATTCTGTCTGGC